ATGGCACTTGGCCACGACACCGACGCCGACGACGACAGCGACAACGACGACGACGGCGCCGCAGACACCGACTACGACGACACCGCCGACGTCGACGTCGACGAAGACGACGACGACGCCGACGCCGACGACGACGACGAAGACGACGACGACGTCGCCAACGGAGACGACGACGAGGGAGGAGAAAAAACGACGACGGCGACAACGACGACAACGACGATGGAGGAGGGAAGACGGCGACGACGCGAACGACGAAGAAGGAGGAAGGACGGCGACGCCGACGACGACAACGACGAGGGAGGAGGGAAGACGACGACGACGACAACGACGACGAAGACGACGACGACGGCGACGAAATAGGAGGGACGACGACGAGACGCCGACGACGGACGACGACGACGAGGGAGGAGGATAACGACGAGGGAGGAGTGAAGACCACGACGACGACGACGACGACGACGACGACGACGAAATAGGAGGGACAACGACGAGACGCCGACGAAGACGACGAGGGAGGAAGGACGACCACGGCGACAACGACGACGGAAGCGACGACGACGCCAAGACGACGACGACGACCACGAGAAAAGACTGAGGACGACGTAGGCGACGACGACGACGACGACGACGCGGGAGGAGAGAGGACGGCGACGACGACGACGACGACGACGACGACGACGCAAGAGCGCGCGCGCACGCTTTTGTTGAAAATCCGTGTTGCGAAACCCTGGGTTTTTGTGAGTTTTTTGGACGCACGATTTTGAAATCCTTCCGAAACCGATGGGTTTTGAAGGTTTTCGGCATACGCCCGCGACGACGCGCGCGTCTGCACTTCGTCCCATTTTTTGCAGAGGATTCTTGCGACGGCACACGCGCAAGGGCGTTCGACAGATTTCGACATGCGCGCGCGCGAAGCCCGTTTGGTAGCATTTTGTGAAAATCTTGAAAAGCCTATGGTTTTCTTAAGATTTCGCAAGAGCTCGCGCGGAAGCTTTTTTAGCAAATCAGTGTTGCGAAACCATGTGTTTTTGTATGTTGTTTGGAAACTCGATTGCGAAATCCTTCCGGCACCGAAGGTTTTTGAAGGATTTCGGCATGCGCGCGCGACGGCGCGCGCGTGTGCATTTCGCCCCATTGTTTGCAAGGGATTCGCGAAAAAGTGCTATGTTAGAACAAAAAATGTCACCGCATAGTGTTTTTCACAAGGGAACCTCAGGGGGGGGAAACCGGCCTAGCTGGGATGGTATGATTTCATATTGAGGATGAACGAGTGTGCAGAAATATATTAAATCATACTATCCCAGGGGGAACCGATAGAAAGGATAATACATGTTGTGTAATATATGTTGTGGAACCTATGTTGTGCAATCTTGGTGGAGCCATGTATGTTGTGTAGTCTATGTGGTGCAGTCTATGTGGTGCAAACTATGTTGAGAAATCTATGTTGTGCAATCTATGTAGTGCAATCTATGTGGCGCACGGAGCTGCAAGACCGACAATCAGGCCCAGACGACGGGCGGCGACGAGGCGGCGACGGGGCGGCGACGGCGAGCACGGAGCCGCCAGACCGACATTCAGAGCCAGACGACGGCGGCGACGGGGCGGCGACGGGGCGGCGACGGCGAGCACGGAGCCGCCAGACCGACACTCAAGGCCAGTTCCTCAGAAGAAACGTAAGAAACCCTAAGGGCAAGTACTGTTTGAGAAACAAAGGATCATCAATGAATTGCGCCTTCTCGCCTTCTCGCGTACGATGGGCTTCTGAGGCCTCAAGATGCCCTCAAGATGACCCAAGAGCGCCCCAAGAACGCCCCAAGAGGGCCCAAGAGACAGTGCTGGGGGCTCCTGGGGAGGGACCTGGGTAAAGAACCCCGCCTTGGCCTCCAAGATGGCCCCGAGAGGTCCTCAAGGGCTCGAGGCTCCCAGTGAGGCCCGAACATATCCGAAAACTTGCATCCTCGCAGCCGAAAGCGTCCAAACATCCAAGGGCCGAGAAAAACTCTGATCCTCGACCCTCCTCGACGAATCCTCCCTGGCCTCCCCGCCGGCCGGCGTGCGGGGAGGCGAACGTGAGGTCCCCGCCCGTGCGCGCTCGAGGGGGGAGAAGGGCGGGAGAAGCGGGAGGCGGGGAGGATCGACGGTTTCAGACGTGTTCGGCTCCCACCTCACGGAGACGATGACGAGGACGATGACGATGACGAGGACGGAAACGATGATGATGATGATGATGATGATGATGATGATGATGATGATGATGATGATGATGACGAAGACGATGATGATGATGTTGATGATGATGATGATGTTGATCGAGATGATGACGATGGTGATGATTATGATGATGCTGATGATGAGAATGATGATGCTGATGATGATAATGATGGTGATGGTGATGATGATGGTGATGATGATGATGACGATGGTGGTCATTATGATGATGATGATGATGATGATGATGATGATGATGACGAAGATGATGATGATAATGACGAAGATGATGGTGACGAAAATGATAATGATGATGCCACACGATTGCGGCTCCCACCTCACGTGGACGAGGACGATGACGATGACGATGACGGTGATGAAAATGTCGATGGTGAAGAAGAAGACGAAGATGATGATGATGATGGTGATGATGATGCCAAAGATGACGATGATGCTGAAGAAGATGATAATGGTGATGATCATAATGATGATGATGATGATGATGAGGAGGAGGATGAAGGAGATGATGATGACGATAGTGATGGTGATGGTGATGACGATGATGATGATGGTGTTGATGATGATGACAACGGTGATCATGATGATGATGATAGTGATGATGACGACGACGATGATGATGATAATGATGATGATGATGATGACGGCGACGACGATGATGATGGTGACCGTAATGATGAGTGTAATGATGTTGGTAATGGTGAGGTGATGATGGTGATGATGATGATGATGAAGATGACAATGATGTTGACCACGCTGATCACGACGACGATAATGATGATAACGATGATGATGATGATGATGATGATGATGATGATGATGATGATGATAAAAATGATGATGCTGATGATTACTATGACGATGAGGTTGATGATGATGATGTTGATGATGATGATGATGCTGACAGGGGTGATTATGGTTATGATGATGATTATGACGATGGTGATGGTGATGATGACGATGGTGATAATGACGACGATGATGCTGATGACCATGATGATGATGCTGATGATGATGATGATCACCATGATGATGATGATGATGATGATGATGATGCTGATGATGGTGGCGATGAGAATGAGGATGATGATAAGGATGGTGATGATAACGATACTGATGGTGATGGTGATGATGATGATGACGACAACGATGATGATGCTGCTGCTGAGGCTGCGAATGATTACGGTTATGATTATGATAACGACAGAATGATGATAAGGATGGTGATGATGATGATGACGACAATGATGATCATGATGATGATTGCGATGATGTTCATGATGCTGATGATGATGATGCTGACTGTGATGGTGGTGGTGATGATGACGATGACGATGGTGATGATGACGACGACGGGGATGATGATGATGATGATGATGATGATGATGATGATGATGATGGTGACGATGATGATGATGATGACGATGATAGTGATGATGGTGATGGTGATGATGAAGATGATGATGACAATGATAAACATTGTGATGGGGATGGTGATGGTAACGACGATGACGATGATGACGATGGTGGCGGTGTGGTGATGACATCTCCCGACGACCGACCTCTACGACGAAACAAGGAGTGAACTCAAAAGCATGCTCACGAGACGACGACGCGACGACGACGACGACGACGACGACGACGACGACGACAACGACAACGACAACGACAAAGACGGCGGCGGCGGCAGCGCTCGCCAGAGGCCCCTGGAGGCTCCCAGTGAGGCCCGAACATATCCGAAAACTTGCATCCTCGCAGCCGAAAGCGTCCAAACATCCAAGGGCCGAGAAAAACTCTGATCCTCGACCCTCCTCGACGAATCCTCCCTGGCCTCCCCGCCGGCCGGCGTGCGGGGAGGCGAACGTGAGGTCCCCGCCCGTGCGCGCTCGAGGGGGGAGAAAGGCGGGAGAAGCGGGAGGCGGGGAGGATCGACGGTTTCAGACGTGTTCGGCTCCCACCTCACGGAGACGATGACGAGGACGGTGATGATGACGAGGACGGAAACGATGATGATGATGATGATGATGATGATGATGATGATGATGATGATGATGATGATGATGATGATGATGACGATGCTGATGATAATGATAATGATGATGATGATGATGATGATGATGATGATGATGATGATGATGATGATGATGATGATGATGATGATGATGATGATGATTATGGTGATGATGATGATCGAGATGATGACGATGGTGATGAATATGATGATGATGGCGATGATGACGATGATGCTGATGATGAGAATGATGGTGATGATGGTGGTGATGGTGGTGATCATGATGATGATGATGGTGGTGGTGATGATGATGACGATGGTGATCATGATGATGACGATGATGTTGATGATGGTAATGATGAGGACAATGATAATGAGAATGATGCTGATGATGATGCTGATGATTGTGGTGGTAATGATGATGATTATCATTGTGATTATGATGATCATAACGTGATGGTGATGATGCTGGTGATGATGATGACAATGATTATCATGATGATGATGACGACGATGATGGTGATGGTCATGGTGATGGTGATTGTGATGGTGGTTACGATGATGAGGATGAGGATGCCAATGATAATGATGTTGATGGAGATTATAATGATGATGATGAGGATGATGATGATGACGATGGTGATGATGAAGGTGCTGATGAGTGTGATGGTGCTGGTGATGACGAAGATGATGCCGATGACGATGGTGATAATGATGATAATGGTATCAAATAGCCTTGATACAACCTATCTGAGAATGTTTTTGACGCCGACCTCTCACCTTCCTGTGGTACCGCACCCCATGGCGTCCATGGCTTCCTGGGGCCATCGAAGGTTCGGACATTTCCGAGGGGCATCTGCTGGCAGACCAGTGTCTTATTTGATGTGCTTACTGTAGCGCTGTCCTACGGACTCCATAGGTTTGAAGTTCTCGGCATGTCTATTGCGTATTGAGGCACCCTTTGTTTTGCGGGACTGCGAGACAGACCCACGACAAGCGCCCTGATTGTGGCACTGAGGCTGAATGCATCTGGACCCACATTGTCCTGCCACGAGTGCAAGAACATCGACAAGGCATGCTGCCACTTCCCACGGCGACCTAACGCTGAGATGACACCAGTATAGCTGTATTGAGTTGGTTCCAGGCTGTCGTGCTGCATCTTCATGAATAACGACAGCGCGTGCTGCCACTCCCCTTGTTTTCCACATGCCGTTATCCCAATAGTGCAGCAGGTGACGGTGGGCTTCATCCTCGCCTCCCATACCTCGCTTAGCAACGAACAGGCCACCTGCCACTGCTCGATCTGCCCAAATGCGCGAATCCCAGCGGTGTAGCTGACAAAAGTGGGCTGCACATCCGCCGCATGCATCTCGCTGATCAGACCCAAGGCCCGCTCCCACTGCCCGCCTTTCACATACGCACTCATTCCAGCGGTGAAGCTGGTGACACAGGGTTCCATCTTCACATCACGCATCTCGCTGAGCAGTCCTAGAGCCCGCTGCCACTGGTTGCATTTTTCGCACGCGCTGATCCCAGCGCTGTAGCTGACTGAATTGAGCTCGATCTTCACCTCACGCATCTCGCTGAGTAGTCCTAGAACCCGCTGCCACTGCATACAATTCCTGCACGCGTTGATACCACCGCTATAGCTGACAAAAGTGGGCTCGAGCTTCACCTCACGCATCTCGCTGAGCAGTCCTAGAGCCCGCTGCCATTGCCCGCCTTTCTCGCACGCGCTGATCCCAGCGTTGTAGCTGACTAGGGCTGACCCGTGGACTACCGTCCACGAATGCCAGAGGATTGAGCGTGCGCTCGTTGCTGCTTATTGCTTCAGGGTGCGCTGTTTGCTTGATGATCCTGACGGCGTCTGGAGCAGCGCTAGCAGCAGCGGCGGGGGGGCCCTCCGATACCCGGGAGAGGGTCCTCGTGGGGCTCTGTGGAAGCTGTGGGAGCCTCTGGAGAGCCTCTGGGAGCCTCTTGAGAGCTCTTGGGAGCGCCTCTGAAGCCTTCTGGGAGCCTCTGGAGAGCGCCCGCGGGCCTCTTGGGAGCGCCTCCCGGGCCTTCTGGGGGCCTCTCGGGGGCGTCTTGGAGCCTTGCTGGCCGTGGAGGGGCCCGGAGGGGGGGGAAGCGCTCCGAACTGAACCCGCTTGGGCGTCCCTTGGGACCGTCTGGGGGTGTCTTGGGCCGTCTTGGGGGCCCTGGGAGCTCGATCGCGGGCCTCTGGGGCCATCTTGGGGACTCTCTTGGAGGCCCCCCGGACAGCATGGGCCCGATTTCGGACGCCCGCAGTGCCGTTGTGGGCGTCTTGTGCCACCGGAAACGTCAAAAAACCTCGAGAATATCGTTAGTTTTGCGGCCTTGGGGCCCTCGTGGAGGTTCCCTGGGAGCTCAGTGGGAGCTCGCGGGGGCCCTCCGAGCCCGTCCTGGGGCACTCTCGGGCTCGCTGGGGAGCTTCCGGGAGACTCTCGAGGCCTCCGCGTCGGGACCCTCATGGGCCGTCCTGGGGCTGTCCCGGGCCGAGACGGCGTCACCCCACCACGGGCGGGGCCCCCGGGGCGCCGCCGCGGGTGACCATAGCTTGCCCTTCTCGCACGCGCTGATCCCAGCGTTGTAGTAGAGACTAGGGCTGACCCGTGGACTCCGTCCACGACATCTTTCTGGAATGGTTCTCGGAGGAACGGCGCAGATTGTACCGAAAATCTACAAACACGGCGGCGGCTCGGGCGGCGGCAGCGAGACCGCGCCTTCGTGTCCGAGCTCTTGCAGCGCTGCAGCAGCTTGGCCCAGCGCACTGCTCGTTCACCCCCCTCCTATTGAGGACAGTTTCGAAGTCTCTCGGGGATGTGCGTCGAAGTCGAAGCCCATCTGAGGCGTCTCAGGAGCGCTCGGGGAAGGGCTCGGGAGGCCATCGGGGAAAGCCACCGAAAGCGCCGGGGAGGCTCGCAAGGATCTACAGGGAGGGCCCAAGAGAGCTTCAAGAAAATTTGAAATCCAGTGAACTCTTAAGAGAAACCGCTGTTGGGTCGGCCATCACCTCCGGGCGCGCCTTGATGGTGCGATCCAGTCGCATCACCGCCAACGGGAGGGTTTGTTCGCCATGTCCCATTCTGTTCGCCCAGAGGGTCTGTGGAGGCCTTCGGGCGAACAGAACGGGACAGGGCAAGGAATGGGGAAGACATGTCCGAATCTCCTGGGCCCCCCAGATGCTCGTCCGAAGAATGCGGAGAGGTCCCAGGGTCATATCAATTGGCTGCTGTCCCAGGGGTCCGGTCTGCTTGGCCCGAAGAGTTTGCCAAGGCCCCTGGGGGAACAGAATGGCACAGCATATCGGGCAAAGGGGGGCGGTAGCTGGCCTGTCAGACCCGGCGTTCGTCTTCTGCCCAAGCGGCGCGGGGCCCACGGGCCCCAGGGTTGGCGTCCCGCTGGGATTCCTCTTGTTCGCCCACAGGGTTGGAGGAGGCCTCCAGGCGAACAGAATGGGGCAGGACAATGAATGTGGGAGACTTGTCGCAAGCTCCCAGCCCCCCCAAGTGTGCGCCCGAAGGGTGTGGGGCCGCGTTGGCTCCCTCAAAGGGCCGTCTTGGAGCCGTCTAGGCCCGTCTTGAGGGCGCCGTTTGCCCTGATGGGGCCGTCTTGGTTCGTCGTGGGCCCCTCATGGGCGCGTCCGTAGGCCGTCCTGGGCCCATCGGGGTCCTCGTGGGGCTGTCTTGGAGCCGTCTGGGACCGTGAGGAGGCCGCCTTGGAGTCAGCAGGGCCGTGTTGGCACCCTCTTGGGGCTGTCTTGGAGCCGTCTTGAGCCGTCGCAGCGCGCCTTGGGTTGTGCTGGGTCCGTCTTGGCCCGTCTTGGGGCCTTCCTGGGCGGTTCCTCGGACCCTCCTGGGACTTTCTGGGGCCTCTTGGTGCATCGGACCGCCGAAACGGCGGGAAACGCAAAGGGTGTAACAGTAAACAATGGAAAATTAACGATTTTTGCCAGCTGGGACTCTCTTGCCATCTTGGCCCGTCTTGAGGCCCCGAACGGGCGCGTCCTTGGGCCGTCCTGGGCGCACCCTCCTGGGACCGTCTTGGAATCGTCTTGGGCCGTCTTGAGCGCGCCTTGGGCCGTCCTGGGCCGGTCTGGGGCCGTGTTGGCACCCTCGCGGCGAGGAAGCTCGGAGGCGGGCTCGAGGCCTCTTCGGGGCCATTTTGGAAGCTGTTGGGGCCTCTGTAGGGGCCTCGTTTGGGCTCCTTGGGAGCCTCCTGGGGCCTCTTCGGGGGATTCTTGGCGGCCCCTTGGGGCCTCTTGGGGGCCTGTTTGGGCCTCCTGGCGCCCTCTTGGGGCGGAAGGCTCGGATTTTCGGTCCGTGGTCCCCCTCTTGGCCCCCTCTTGGGCCTGTCTTCGGGCCCTCGTGGGCCGTCTTGAGCGTCTCTTGGGTCGTCTTGGGGCCCTCTTGGGCTGTCTTGGGGCGCTCTTGGAAACCTCTTGGGCCGTTCTGGGGCGCTCTTGGAGGCCTCTTGGGCCGTCTTCGAGCGTCGGAAAGCGGAAAAGGCGAGAAGGCCCAAATCCTTCCAAAACCGTCGTAAAGCGGACGATTTTGAGGCCCAGAAACCGTCCAAAACCTCCTGAGGCGGTCCCCTCGTCCGCCCCCCTCGCTTCGAAGCAGTTTTTAAGCCCCGTGGCACCGCTTGGGGATCTCTTTGGGGCTCCTGGGGGCCTCTTGGGCCTCCACTGGATTCGCTGCCCTCGGTCGGCAATCGTCGATCCTACGACGACTCTTCCCAACGGAGAAACATCGAAGGCCCTCGGAGCGTCCAACATTGTTCTTTTGTGCCTTCGATATGCCGGTCGCCTCTCGTCCGCTCCCCCCCTCCTGGAAGCAATTCTGAGGCCACTTAGGGCTTCGTGGGGGCCGTTTGGGGATCTCTTGGGGCGTTTTTGCCTGCGATATGCCTGTCGCCTCTCGTCCGCTCCCCCGCTCCTGGAGGGAATTCTGAAGGCACTGAAGGCTTCGTGGGGGCCGTTTCGGAGCCTCTTCGGCCTTCGTTTGGGCCTCCCGGGGGGGCTCTTAGGGCCCTCTCGGGCCGTCTTGGGTGCCTCTTGGGCCGTCTTGGGGCCGTCTGAGACCCGCCTCGGCGCCTCTTGGGCTGTCGTGGGCCGTCTTGGGCCGCTCCTGGGGTCGTCTTGGGTGCCTCTTGGGCCGTCTTGGGCGCCTCCTGGGCCGTCCTGGGGCCGTCCTGGGGCGTCTTGGGACCGTCTGGGGGCCCTCCTGGCCCGTCTTGGGGCTCTCTTGGGGTCCTCTTCGGCCGTCTTGGAGCGGTCGGGGGGGCTTCTTGGGCCGTCTTGGAGCGTCGGGAAGCCGACGAGGCGAGGAGGCCGAAAACATCGAAAAACACATTAGAAATCGACGATTTCTGTCGCTCGGGGCCCTCTTGGGAGGCCTCTTGGGAGGCCTCTTCGGGCGTCTTGGACGCCTCTTGGGCCGCCTGGGGCGAATCTCGGGCGTCTTGGGCCCATCTTTAAGCGTGCCGGGGCTCTCCGGGGCCGTCTTGGGGGCTTCTGGGGGCCCTCTCGACATGTCCTGGGGCCTGCCTGGGCGGCCCGGGGCGGCCCGGGGCCAGCCCGGGGCGGTTTTGAGACATTTGAGCCTGCGCCCTTCCCGCACGCACGTGCCCCTGCAATGTAGTAGAGACTAGGGCTGACCCGTGGACTCCGTCCACGACATCTTTCTGGAATGGTTCTCGGAGGAACGGCGCAGATTGCACCGAAAATCTACAAACACGGCGGCGGCTCGGGCGGCGGCAGCGAGACCGCGCCTTCGTGTCCGAGCTCTTGCAGCGCTCCAGCAGCTTGGCCCAGCGCACTGCTCGTTCACCCCCCTCCTATTGAGGACAGTTTCGAAGTCTCTCGGGGATGTGCGTCGAAGTCGAAGCCCATCTGAGGCGTCTCAGGAGCGCTCGGGGAAGGGCTCGGGAGGCCATCGGGGAAAGCCACCGAAAGCGCCGGGGAGGCTCGCAAGGATCTACAGGGAGGGCCCAAGAGAGCTTCAAGAAAATTTGAAATCCAGTGAACTCTTAAGAGAAACCGCTGTTGGGTCGGCCATCACCTCCGGGCGCGCCTTGATGGTGCGATCCAGTCGCATCACCGCCAACGGGAGGGTTTGTTCGCCATGTCCCATTCTGTTCGCCCAGAGGGTCTGTGGAGGCCTTCGGGCGAACAGAACGGGACAGGGCAAGGAATGGGGAAGACATGTCCGAATCTCCTGGGCCCCCCAGATGCTCGTCCGAAGAATGCGGAGAGGTCCCAGGGTCATATCAATTGGCTGCTGTCCCAGGGGTCCGGTCTGCTTGGCCCGAAGAGTTTGCCAAGGCCCCTGGGGGAACAGAATGGCACAGCATATCGGGCAAAGGGGGGCGGTAGCTGGCCTGTCAGACCCGGCGTTCGTCTTCTGCCCAAGCGGCGCGGGGCCCACGGGCCCCAGGGTTGGCGTCCCGCTGGGATTCCTCTTGTTCGCCCACAGGGTTGGAGGAGGCCTCCAGGCGAACAGAATGGGGCAGGACAATGAATGTGGGAGACTTGTCGCAAGCTCCCAGCCCCCCCAAGTGTGCGCCCGAAGGGTGTGGGGCCGCGTTGGCTCCCTCAAAGGGCCGTCTTGGAGCCGTCTAGGCCCGTCTTGAGGGCGCCGTTTGCCCTGATGGGGCCGTCTTGGTTCGTCGTGGGCCCCTCATGGGCGCGTCCGTAGGCCGTCCTGGGCCCATCGGGGTCCTCGTGGGGCTGTCTTGGAGCCGTCTGGGACCGTGAGGAGGCCGCCTTGGAGTCGTCTTGGGCCCCTCCTGTGCGCCTCCTTGGGCCGTCCTGGGCCCAGCAGGGGCCGTGTTGGCACCCTCTTGGGGCTGTCTTGGAGCCGTCTTGAGCCGTCGCAGCGCGCCTTGGGTTGTGCTGGGTCCGTCTTGGCCCGTCTTGGGGCCTTCCTGGGCGGTTCCTCGGACCCTCCTGGGACTTTCTGGGGCCTCTTGGTGCATCGGACCGCCGAAACGGCGGGAAACGCAAAGGGTGTAACAGTAAACAATGGAAAATTAACGATTTTTGCCAGCTGGGACTCTCTTGCCATCTTGGCCCGTCTTGAGGCCCCGAACGGGCGCGTCCTTGGGCCGTCCTGGGCGCACCCTCCTGGGACCGTCTTGGAATCGTCTTGGGCCGTCTTGAGCGCGCCTTGGGCCGTCCTGGGCCGGTCTGGGGCCGTGTTGGCACCCTCGCGGCGAGGAAGCTCGGAGGCGGGCTCGAGGCCTCTTCGGGGCCATTTTGGAAGCTGTTGGGGCCTCTGTAGGGGCCTCGTTTGGGCTCCTTGGGAGCCTCCTGGGGCCTCTTCGGGGGATTCTTGGCGGCCCCTTGGGGCCTCTTGGGGGCCTGTTTGGGCCTCCTGGCGCCCTCTTGGGGCGGAAGGCTCGGATTTTCGGTCCGTGGTCCCCCTCTTGGCCCCCTCTTGGGCCTGTCTTCTGGCCCTCGTGGGCCGTCTTGAGCGTCTCTTGGGTCGTCTTGGGGCCCTCTTGGGCTGTCTTGGGGCGCTCTTGGAAACCTCTTGGGCCGTTCTGGGGCGCTCTTGGAGGCCTCTTGGGCCGTCTTCGAGCGTCGGAAAGCGGAAAAGGCGAGAAGGCCAAAATCCTTCCAAAACCGTCGTAAAGCGGACGATTTTGAGGCCCAAAACCGTCCAAAACCTCCTGAGGCGGTCCCCTCGTCCGCCCCCCTCGCTTCGAAGCAGTTTTTAAGCCCCGTGGCACCTCTTGGGGATCTCTTTTGGGCTCCTGGGGGCCTCTTGGGCCTCCACTGGATTCGCTGCCCTCGGTCGGCAATCGTCGATCCTACGACGACTCTCCCCAACGGAGAAACATCGAAGGCCCTCGGAGCGTCCAACATTGTTCTTTTGTGCCTTCGATATGCCGGTCGCCTCTCGTCCGCTCCCCCCCTCCTGGAAGCAATTCTGAGGCCACTTAGGGCTTCGTGGGGGCCGTTTGGGGATCTCTTGGGGCGTTTTTGCCTGCGATATGCCTGTCGCCTCTCGTCCGCTCCCCCGCTCCTGGAGGGAATTCTGAAGGCACTGAAGGCTTCGTGGGGGCCGTTTCGGAGCCTCTTCGGCCTTCGTTTGGGCCTCCCGGGGGGGCTGTTAGGGCCCTCTCGGGCCGTCTTGGGTGCTTGGGCCGTCTTGGGGCCGTCTGAGACCCGCCTCGGCGCCTCTTGGGCTGTCGTGGGCCGTCTTGGGCCGGTCCTGGGGCCGTCTTGGGTGCCTCCTGGGCCGTCTTGGGCGCCTCCTGGGCCGTCCTGGGGCCGTCCTGGGGCGTCTTGGGACCGTCTGGGGGCCCTCCTGGCCCGTCTTGGGGCTCTCTTGGGGTCCTCTTCGGCCGTCTTGGAGCGGTCGGGAGCGAAGCCGACGAGGAGGCCGAAAACATCGAAAAACACAGTAGACATCGACGATTTCTGTCGCTCGGGGCCCTCTTGGGAGGCCTCTTGGGAGGCCTCTTCGGGCGTCTTGGACGCCTCTTGGGCCGCCTGGGGCGAATCTCGGGCGTCTTGGGCCCATCTTTAAGCGTGCCGGGGCTCTCCGGGGCCGTCTTGGGGGCTTCTGGGGGCCCTCCCGACATGTCCTGGGGCCTGCCTGGGCGGCCCGGGGCGGCCCGGGGCCAGCCCGGGGCGGTTTTGAGACATTTGAGCCTGCGCCCTTCTGGCACGCACGTGCTCCTGCAATGTAGTAGAGATAAAAGTGGGCTCGAGCTTCAACTCACGCATCTCGCTGAGCAGTCCTAGAGCCTGCTGCCACTGCTTACCTTTCTCGCACGCGCTGATCCCGGCGGCGTAGCTGACAAAATCGGGCTCGAGCTTCACTTCGCGCATCTCGCTGAGCAGTCCTAAGGCCCGCTGCCACTGCTTGCATGTTTCGCACGCGCTGATCCCAGAAGTGTAGCTGACGGAAGTGGACTCGAGCTTCACTTCGTGCATCTCGCTGAGCAGTCCTAGAGCCCGTTGCCACTGCTTGCCTTTGTCGCACGCGCTGATACCAGCGTTGTAGCTGATAAAGGTGGGCTCGAGCTTCACCTCACGCATCTCGCTGAGCAGTCCTAGAGCCCGCTGCCACTGCTTTCCTTTCTCGCACGCGCTGATCCCAGCGTTGTAGCTGATAAAAGTGGGCTCGAGCTTCACCTCACGCATCTCGCTGAGCAGTCCTAGAGCCCGCTGCCACTGCTTACCTTTCTCGCACGCGCTGATCCCAGCGTTGTAGCTGATAAAGGTGGGCTCGAGCTTCACCTCACGCATCTCGCTGAGCAGTCCTAGAGCCCGCTGCCACTGCTTTCCTTTCTCGCACGCGCTGATCCCACCGTTGTAGTTGACTAAGGCTGACCTGTGGACTACCGTCCACGATTGCTAATGTATTGGGAGGGCGCATGCTGCTGCGTAGTGCTTCAGGGCGAGCTGGGTGCTCGATGATCCTGTCGGCGCCGAGAGCATGGTTTGCAGCAGCATCAGATATGGCAGCATCGGCAGTAACCAGAGAGGTGGGTGGAGCGACGTGACTGACAAACGACGGCAGCCACTGTGCAGAGGGAACCGTGGGCAACGAGGAGAAGGAGGTCGATGAAGGGAGTGTAACCTGTATGGAAAAACCATACCCCGCGCCTCCTGGAACACGCGCCGTGCGGGAGTAGTCCCAGAAAAAGCGTTCTGGGGCGTTGGCGGCTCGGTCTGAAAGGTTGTTCGGCCACCCCCTTCCAGCCCAACATGGCTCCAAGAGGGCCCCAAGAAAGCTCCAAAGGGGCCCCAAGACTGTTCCAGAGGGCCCCAAGTGAGCCCCCCAGAGCTCCAGACGCGGGCGCAAGTCGGCTAGAGCTCTCAGCTCTCAGGGGGCCCTCAGCCCCCATAGACCCCCTCAGGAGGACACACGTCTGCCCCAAGAGGGTTTGAAAAAGGCCCAACAACTTGTCGCGAAAAGGGGCCGTCTTCGTGACAGGTTGTAGGCCCCTCTTGGGGCCCCAGGATGGCCCCAAGAGGGCCCCAAGAAAGCTCCAAAGGAGCCCCAAGACGGTTTCAAGAGAGGAGGGAGTCCACCTGGTAGTAAAAAACAATACCCCGCGCCTCATGGGACACCTCTTCCTCAGGAGGGCTTGCCAAAAATTCGTCCGCGCCCCCCGCGGCACCCAGGGACGCTATTTTCTGAGGCCTCTCTCGCACGCCGCGTGTCCCAGGAGGCGTGAGGTACGATGCGAGAGGTGTCCCAAGAGGTGTGGGGTGTGTGTGTGTTTTTACCTAACATCGAAGACTGATAGGTTTCTAATGGGCTAAAAAGAGAGCAGCACATTACTCCACAGGGGGGTCTGGGCAGCCGTTGGGGAGCCGTTGGGGGGCCGTTGGGGTTTGCCGGGGGGGATCGTTTTTCGCATACAGTCACACACTTCGTGCTTTTCGATTTCCCAGAACTCCATTCCCGGGCCACATTCTGAATGCCCGGAGCCAACTATACGCCACTTCGTGCTCTTCGACTTCCCAGAACTCCATTCCCGGGCCACATTTTGGATGCCCGGAGCCAACTGTAGGCCACTTCGTGCTCTTCTACTTCCCAGAACTCCATTCCCGGGCCACATTTTGGATGCCCGGAGCCAACTGTAGGCCACTTCGTGTTCTTCGACTTCCCAGAACTCCATTCCCGGGCCACATTTTGGATGCCCGGAGCCAGCTGTAAGCTCCGTGCGTTGATAGCAGTGTCTCGTTTGCAAATACATCCATTCAAGCTCCGTGCATTGATAGCAGTGTCTCGTTTCGACATACATTCTACTATTACTTTTACTGATACCGTTACTACGGGGGCGAACTTCCCCTACTACCATTCTACTATCCAAGACATCCGCCGCACTTCACTGTTACTACTACTGCCATCCACCCACTCCAACTATACTTCACTTCACTTTTACCACTACACCCACTACTACTACTACACTTCACTCGTTCACTCCCGCCAACTACAACTACTACTTCACTGTTACCACTGTTTCATCTCTCCTGCTCTTATTGCTACTACTACTATGACTGTTACTGCTGCTGCATGCCTCCAGCTATGCTTCTACATATCGATGTTAGGTTGCTTTGCCGGGATAATTCCAATCCGACGGGGCTTCAGTGAAATAGGAAATTTCAGGGCTTCCTAGGAGTCCACCCGGGCCACGGCGGGCCGATTTCGGAAACCTTGGGTGCCGTGCTGGGCCAGATGGGGGGGGTGGTCCAGAATTGGCCTTCTGGGGAGGCTTCTCGCGGGCCTCTCGGAGGCAGTTTCGAAGCCTTTGGGGGGCCGTTTGGGGCCATCTTGGGGCCTCTTTTGGGCCTCTCGGGGGCCTCTTGGAGCCTCTTGGGGGCCTCTTGGTGGCCTCTTGGGGGCGTCTTGGAGCGGAAGGCTGGGATGTTGGGTTCGAGGTCCCCCTCTTGGGGCCGTCTTGGGGCCCTCTTGGGCCGTCTTGGGCGCGTCTTGGGCCGTCTTGGCACCCTCTTGGGCCGTTTTGGGGGCCTCTTGGGAGCCTCTTGGGCCGTCTTGGGGCGGTCTTGGGGGCCTCTTGGACCGTCTTCAGCGCCATGAAAGCCGAGAAGCCGTACATGCTCAAAATATACATTTCCATTCGGGAAATCGATGATTTTGGTCTGTTGGGGCCCTCCTGGGACGCCACTTGGGCGTCTGGGCCGTCGTGGAGGCCTCTTGGGCCGTCTTGGACTCTCTTGAGGCTCCCTGGAAGCCACCGTGGGCTCTCTGGGGGCCCTCGTGGACCGTCCCCACGAGCGGAGCCGCCGAGGTGCCGCCCCCCAGGGCCCGGTGAGGGTGCCCCCAATGGCCCTTCTCGCACGCGCAATGCCCGGTATTGTAGGTTGGACCAGTGTACCCGTGGAGCAACTCCGCAGGTGCCCTCGCAGGGGAACGCAGCGGGGCCATCTCTGGGCCATCTTGATTCGTCTTGGGCGCCTGTTGGGCAGTCTTGGGGCTTTTCCTGAGCTGCCTTGTAGCTCTCTTCTGCCATCTTGCAGCCTTGCAGGAGGTTCTGGGAGCACCTGGAGGACCTCGAAGAAAATTGCCCCAAGAGGGCCCCCAGAAAGCATCCGACGGATGCTATAACAGGGGGGAGCGTTGTAGCATCCGTTGGGGGGCCTCTTCGGGCTCTCTGGGAGCGCTCTTGGGGCCGTCTTGGGATGAACCTGTGGGTCAAATGGGCCATTTCTGCCATCTTGGGTCGTCTTGGGCGCCTCTTGGGCCGTCTTGGGGCTCTCGTGGGCCGTCTTGGGGCTCTCTCGAGCCGCCTAAGGATTCTCTTGGGGAGCCTCTTGGGCTGGCTTGGGGCGATCTTGGGGACTGTTGGGCCGTCGTTTGAAAACCTAATGATGGACACCTTTGGTTTTTGCACCGGGAGAGCACCCGACGGATAGTACGACAGGGAGGTGCGTTGTAGCATCCGTTGAGAGGCCTCTTCGGGCTCTCTGGGAGCGCTCTTGGGGTCATCTTGGGATGTACCTGTGGCTCTACTGGCCCATCTCTGGGCGATCTTGGGGCGTCTTGGGCGCCTCTTGGGTCGTCTTGGGGCTCTCTTGGGCCTTCTTGGGACTCTCTCGAGCCGCCTTGCAGGCCTCTTGGACTGGCTTGGGGCGATTTGGGTGACATTGGACGACGTCAGGCTCCAGCTTCGCCTCCCGCAGCTCACCCAGCAGCGCCAAAGCCCACTGCCACTGCTCGCCCTTCTCGCACGCGCTGATCCCACCGGAGTAGCTGATGGCGTCTGGCTCCAAGGTCACCTCTCGCATCTCGCTGAGCAGCGCCACAGCAGACTGCCACTGCCTGCCCTTCACGCACGCGTTGATCCCAGAGGTGTAGCTGACTCTTACGAACTCGTGGATTACATCCACGGTGTGCTGAACCTGGGACTCGCACACCGTGGGTGAACAGCTCGTCGAAGATGAACAGCTCTGGTGTCTCTGGGGCCCTGTCTGGGGCATGATGGGTCCGCCTGCGAGCCTGTCTGGGGCGTCTCAGAAGCCTCTTGCCCCAAGCTGTCTGTCCCCCAGAGCCTCTTCCAGGGACAGCCTGGGAAGATTAGTGTAGAATCGCGTTAGGGACTGTCCTGGGGCAGCCTTGTAGCTCTGAAGGGCTCTGTGGGGACTCTCTTGGGGCCTCCTAAAAGAAAACTTAGAGCTCTTTGGGACCGTCTTCGGGCGCCCTGAGGCCATCTGGGGGGCCTTGTGGGCCATCGAAGGCCTCTCCTGGGAGTCTCTTGGGCAGTGTTGAAGCAGTGTAAGAGGCGCCGAGGATCGTCCTAGATGAGGAATGGGGCGAAGCCGAAACCCTTGGAAAACCTTTTGGAAGACCATGCGATGTTGCCCTCGTGGGGCCAGCATCTGAGTCCTCCTGGGCCGTAGTAGGTGGCCTCCTGGCGAGTCAAGAGGCCGCATTTGGAGGCTCGACTCGGGGTCTCTGTTGCCTTCCAAGCGCTCTACAGCGCTCTTTGGACCGTCTCTGAGGTGTTGTTGGACGTCTTGAAGCCTTCCGGCGGCCGCTCAGAGCCCGCCAAGACAGCTCCAGGAGCGCCGGGAGCTGCCCCGGCCCGTAGCTACTGCAGCGCAACCTCTCGCAATGAGCCGAGCACTGCGGTATAGGTGGGCTCGACATTCACCTCACGCATCTCGCTGAGCAGTCCTAGAGCCCGCTGCCACTGCTCGCCTGTCCCGCACGAGCTGATCCCAACGTTGTAGCTGATAAAGGTGGGCTCGAGCTTCACCTCACGCAACTCGCTGAGCAGTCCTAGAGCTCGCTGCCACTGCTTGCCTTGCTCGCACGCGCTGATTCCAGCGTTGTAGCTGACGACGTCGGGCTTCATGTTCGACTCCAACAGCTCATAGAACAGAGACAGGGCATGCTGCCACTGCCCGGAGTTTCTGCACATGCTGACAATAGCGGAGTAGTGGGTTGGCGTGAATTGCAGGCGTGCTTGAAACACTTCGCGAAGCAAGTGCAGCGCCTCGCTCCACTGTTTTGCATGACCACACTTGCGTAATGCCACGTCCAAGGAAGAGGCGCCTTCTCGCGACCCTCGCTGGATATTGAACATCTGACTGCGGGTTGGAATACGACGGCGTGAGCCCCGATGGGTCCCAGCAAGAGAGGAATCACGACTTGAGCCTAAATGGCTACGGATGATGATGATGCTGATGATGATGATGATGATGGTGATGATGATAATCATCATCATCATGAAGATGACGATGATGTTGATGATGATAAGGATGATTATGATGATGATGGTGATGATAATCATGATGGTGATGAAGATGATGATGAGAATGATGATCATGATGATGATGATCATGATGATGATGATGATGATGATGATGATGGTGATGGTAATGGTAATGGTGATGGCGATGGTGATGGTGCTGGTGATGGTGATGGTGATGGTGATGGTGACAATGATGATGATGATGGTGATGATGGTGATGATGATGATGATGATGATGATGATGATGATAGTAGTGATGATGCTGGTGATGATGCTGGTGATGGTGATGGTGATGGTGATGGTGATGACGATGACGATGATGACGATGGTGACGGTGTGAGGGTGACATTTCCCCGCCGACCGACCGTTGCGACGAAACAGGCAATGAAGTCCAAAGCAGGATCGCGAGACCACGACGACGAAGAGGACGACGACGACGACGACGACGACGACGACGACGACGACGACGACGACGACGACGACGACGACGACGACGGGCCTGCGCCGATCGGCGCGCCGAGGGGCGGTGGCCTCGCCGCGGCGGAGCCCCGCCGCGCCGGGCGGGGCCCCGAGGAGGAGCCCGGGCGGCACGTGCCGGGGTCGGGCGGCGGGCTCCTGCCCGCCGGGCGAGGGCGGGAGGGGCCCTGCCCTTCCCCGAGGGGTGTGCTCTGGGCACCCGGGCCCGGCGGCGGGCTTCACGACGGGCTGGGGGGCAGAAGGTGATCGCGGGCGGCTCGTCGTCGTCGTCCTCCTCCTCCTCCTCCTCCTCCTCCTCCTCCTCCTCCTCCTCCTCGCCCTCCTCCTCCTCCTCCTCCCTCCTCCTCCTCCTCCTCCTCTCCTCCTCCTCCTCCTCCTCCTCCTCCTCCTCCTCCTCCTCCTCCTCCTGCTCCTCCTTCATCCCCTTCCTTGTAATAAGAACTCCTCCCTGTCGCACCCCCAGACGTGTCGGTAAGGAGGGCCAGGCGTTTTGCCTGAGAAGTCGTCCACACTTATGATCCTGAAGCTTGGCATCCCACCAGCCCTTTAGGGCGTAGGTGGTCTAAGGAGCTTCCTCTTCCAACCCCCTTCTTCACCTTCGGGGATGGGTTATCACTGTTCCCTATTAATAAACACCCCCTCCCCCACCTGGCCGGCGGCCAACCTGGAACAATGCCAACCCAACCCCCACCACAAAACACACTCTGCCTCCACATTCAGAGCATGCGCGGCCGCCCCGCGACCACTTTGTATTGATATTTTACAAGGAGGACCCGGATGCCGACAGATCCCACCTGCCTTCTGGCCGCGGGTGGTCGTCCAGGATGGTCCCAAGAGGCTCTCCTGGGCATCTGGGAGGCCCTCAAGAATGCCCTAAAACCGAAGACCCACCAAAAGAGGCCCAAGAGGACCCGAATACCTCCTAACACCACCGCAACATGTCCCGAAGAGGACCCCGAGAGAACACCAGCAGCACTGGCACCAGCAACAAAAGCAGTAGCACCAGCATCCCTGGCAACAGCAGCGGGACTACGACTGTCCCGTCGGGATTTTCGCATTGGTACTTGACAGAGCCTCTTCGGAGGTTCGAACCCTATTGGGAGGGCGGGTGGGAGTGAGCTACACGGCTTGCTCCTTGTAGGAGTCTTGATCACTGTTCCCTATTAATAAACACCCCCTCCCGCAGGCGACTGGTAGCCAACCAGGAACCATGAGGCCCCCCCCCACCATCCCTTGTAAAAACCATACAAACACACTCTCTGCCTCCAAATTCGGAGCATGCGCAGCCAACCCGATGCGGCCTCCCCCCACCATCCCCTTCAAAAAACAATACAGAGTACACTTGGCGGCGGCGGCGGCTGCGGCGGCGGTTGCGGCGGCTGCGGCGGCTGCGGCGGCTGCGGCAGCGGCGGCGGCGGCGGCGGGGGCGGGGGCGGCGGCGGCGGCGGCGTCGGCGGCATCGGCGGCGGCGGCGGCAGCGGTGGCGGCGGCGGTGGCGGTGGTGTTGGCTGCGGCGGCTGCGCGGCAGCGGCTGCGGCGGCGGCGATTTGGCAGCGGGGGCGGCGGCGGCGGCGGCAACGGCGGGCGGCGCGAGGGCGGCGGCGGCGACGGCGGCGGCGGCAGCGGCGCGGCGGCGGCGGCGGCGGGCAGCGGCGGCGGCGGCAGCGGGGGCGGCGGCGCCTGCGGCGGCCGCGGCGGCGGCGCCGGAGGCGGCGGCGGCGGCGGCTGATTGGCCCCCAGTAGCTTCCCATCCAAAGACGACTGCTGAATATGCTGACGCTCGGGCCTGACTCGGGTGTTACGTATGTGTTGGGAGGGCGGGTTGGAGTGAGCGAGACGGCTTGTGGGCGATGAGGGAGTCTTGACCCCCTACGCCCCCCTCCCCTGGACCTGGACGGGGAATTCCGCGGACCTGGACGGGGAATTCCGCGGGTAGTTGGAGCATTTCAAACGGCCTCGGCGAGGAAGCCAAAATCACTTGTTCATTAAGGTTTTGGCCCCATTTTGGCCTCCCGTGGGGGGGGCTAATTTGGGAGCTCCCCTCCTCTGATCGATCTCACCCAAGATGGCCCAAATATGGCCCCAAAGGCTCCCAGGGGTGCCCCAAGAGGGCCCCAAGAGGTGGCCAGGAGGCCCCAAGAGGCCCCCAAGAGGCCCCCAAGAGGCCCCAAGAGGCCCCCAAGAGGCACCCAAGACGCTCCAAGAGGCCTCGGCGAGAATGCCAAAATTACTGATTTTACCATGGTTTTGGCCACCTCCTTGGAGGGGGCACTGATTCAGATAAATCCAAAAGCGCCTGGGAGAGTCCAAGATGACCTCCAAGATGGTTCAAGAATCCCAAAATGCCTCAAGATGTCTCCCACGATGCTCCAAGAAGCCCCAAGACCGCTCCAAGACGGCTCCAAGTGGCCAAAGAACTAAAACCTTAGGAAACTCCATGTTTTTGGTCTCGCCTCTTCGCTTCCGATGGCCATCCGAGGCCTCAGATGGCTCCAAGATGGCGCAAGAGGGCTCCAAGAGAGGCTCAAGAGAGCCCCAAGACGGCCCCAAGAGCGCCCCAAGAGGAGACTTCTCGGGCTCCCGAGGGGCAACGCTAATCAATGCTCCCCTCTTGTTTGATCGATCTCCTCCAAGGTGGCCTCAAGAGCGCTCCCAAGGCTCCAATAGGAGGGCCCCAAGAGGCGCCCAGGAGGCCCCAGGAGGCTCCAACAGGCGCCAAAGACGCCCAAGAGGCCTCCAAGAGGCTCCCAAGAGACCCCCAAGAGGCCCCAAGAAGCTCTCCGAAGCACCCAAGACGCTGTAAGAGGCGTCCGGGGCCGCCAAGAGGCCCCCAAGACGCTCCAAGAGCCCTCCACTGGGGGGCCCTTCCTCTGCGTGCTGCCCACTTCCCTAATCGAGGCAATTCCTCTGGACATCGTTTCTGGATGGGCTGGTGGGATTACTTTTGATCGCGACCGCGCCGAAGAAAGGTCGGGCGGCGTCCAGGGAATTGCAAACTAGCAACGGCCTAACTTAGCGCAAAGGAAGAGGAAGCGAAAAGAAAGGAACAAGAACGAACAGGAGAAAGACAAACAGGAGTCGAGCAAGGGCTGGTGGGGTTACTTTTTCGGTCGCGGCCGCGAGACAAAGGTCAGGCGGCGAGAAGCAAAATCCGGGACACGAACGAGGCGAATTAGCTACAGAGCAGGCACAGGCCGGCCGGCCCGCTCACAAAGCAGCCGCGAAGCTGAAGGGGAGCCGACGGCGGGGGTATCCTGCGAGCTCGAGCACGTGCACAGACAAAATGTCATGGAATTCGGAGCCTGCCACAATATGAGACGTGAACCAGGATAACGAAGCCCGTCAATCTGAGTGGAGGCACGACCCACACGGCAGTAACGTGAACCAGGATGGTCAAGTCCGTCGTGCTGAGTGGGAGCAAGTGGGAGGCCATGGGAGTGAGTCGCCAGTGGGGCGCCAGGCTCCACACGCCCGGACGATGAGCTAGCCAGAAAGGCTGAGCTGTCGTGAGCCGTGGTGCAACGCAACTGGGGAAAGCTGAAGTTGAGCCTGGAATGCTGCACCTGCTGCGGAAGGCTGAACCACTCCGTCACGAAGTCAACACCAGTCAGACCACCCCACAGCGCAAGGGGGAACCGAGCGACTGTGAGCCTCGCAGTGCGTGCCGGCAAGGCGTCAGGCCTCTGAGTGGGGGGGGGGGCCAGCTGGCGTGGACAGCATCGCCAGCGGGGAAGAGTAGAGGGAGCTGCACTGATGGTAGTGTTGCCCTGAAGGCGAAACTATACCAGAGCAGGCGAATCCCCAAGAGAACAGAACGGGCTGCACTCCCGGGCACGCGGCGCCTGTGCGGGGGGGCGTGCCGATGCCATAGGGCGATGCGCCTGTGGGAGCTGCACTTGCCGATGTCATAGGGCGATGCGCCTGGGGGGAGCAGCACGGCGGTGGACACGAGGGCCCTCGGACGCAAAGTCACACCCAGCCCGCAGCTGGCACTTCCCCCCAAGCTCCCGGAACGGCAACAGACACCACGTGGTCCTCCGGGGTCGCAGCTGATCGCCGCTGAGAGTGATGAGACAAACCACGTACACCGAGGGACACGGGCGGCCCAGGGAGGGGGGGCCACGCCCGACGTCGGACAGCACGTCTCGCGGGCCCTGGGGCCAAGAGCGGGGGACACCCGCCAGGCCCCAGAGGGGAGAGGCGGGGGGAACACCGCCCCTCCCCTCGGTCTGGCCCCACACCCGTGGGACAGGAGAAGTGGCTCATGGTTCCTCAGGGGCCGCAGCTGATCGCCGCTCAAGACAATGAAATGGTGGGTGGGTCGTCATTCTCTTGGGTCCTCCAGGGTCGCAGCTACCGCCGCTCGAGAGCACGGCATCGATTGTGGTCCTCCGGGGTCGCAGCTGATCGCCGCTGACGTTTGTGAGTCAGTAGCG